TACTTTTTACTTTTTATTTAATATAAGTGGAAAAAGCTACATTTAATCTAACTTTATCTGAAACAAATTTCAACCATGCACAGCGTACACATTTTGTTCCAATGAATCGTGTACAATGATACACTTTGTGCGTTCCTATCCCAGCAAACGAAATTGATTGAAATGAATTGAATGGATTTAGATTTTCAGAAAAATTGATTCACGAATGTTAAAGTGAATGTTTTTCAATCCTGAATGCATTTTTATTCATTTTTATTCATTTATATTGCATAGAGTATATCTATACTTTTCAATCTAAAAATAATATTAACTTTTACTGTGCACAACATACATCTTGTGAATATTGTTCAATTCAAAATTTTGAATAGGAAATGCAGGAAATACAGGAAAAATTTTCAATTGCATCTAATTAAATCTAATTGAATCCAATTGAATCGAATTAAATCCAAAAAAAAGTATTCGTTATTTAAAATATTTATCGGATAGAAAAAAAATTCAATTCATTTTAATCCATTCCTGGGGTGCACGTTTGTGTTAAGATATGTTAAACAATTGGAAAGCATCTAATGATGACTTGATTACTGTGTCACACTGTGTCGCTTGTTAAAAGGCACACGTTATCTTCTTCTTAACAACTGAATGATGAATTCGATTGGAAGCATTAGTGCGCATTGATGCATATTAAAGCCATTTAATTTGAATATAAAAGTGAAATATTTCGAATTGTAAAATATATATTTTACCTAATAGTATAATAAAATGTATTGAGTTTCTCAGGATTTAATAGATTTTTTATGTTTACGTATAAACATATTTTTACGTTATTTTGTGTACTTTAATTAAGTCCAATTAAATTCACTGTAATTAAGAAAAGGATAACGTGATTTTAGTGTTTACCATATCTGGATCCATTTTATTTTTATTTGCTATTGCAAAAATTCCCTTTTGTCAGCTTTGTAAACCTAATCGAGTCTAACCTTACATAAGAATCTTACCAAATTTCGTTTTCCATTTATATTTTCTTGGGAATCATTCTCATGTATATTTTTTTTTACGAATTCTTGATTTCTGAAAAGAAAATTTATATTATTTAGAAAAATTATAATTGAGAAGATTTATAAATTTATGAAACCTGACAATCATATGTCCAGGCACGATAAAATCGACTGAAACGATGAACATCGATCATGTCGATAATATGTTTGAGCACAGAGTTCCAATTCTCGACGTTAGATGTCGCCAAAGCGCAGAGCAAATAGCGCTGCCCTCTGTGTGGCAATGAAATCACGGAAGAGGGGTGGGGGAGAGGGGAGTGATGGTTAGAAGAGGGCACTAGTATATTAAAATTGCGACTGCTTACAGAGAGATATATACTATTTCGCATATATTTAAATTACACAACACACAAATTACAGCGTAAACATTACAGACAGACTGTAAGAAGTCGAGAATAGGAGGTGCGTACAAATTTGATTAGCGCGCTTCGGAGCGGGCTCGTCGATTCTATTGCTGCGTATCTGCAAATGAGGTATATTTCACATTTATATATAGTAATCATAAAGTTGATCCAACACGCAGACAAGCGGGACAATCGCTATCAGCAAGGAGAAGATGAAGGAGAACGACATGGAAATGAAAAGAAGGAGAAAAGACAAGATATGAGGATGGTGAGGATGAAAAGACTCGCACAGCAGCACACTTCATCCGAGAGACGTCCTGAGAATGTTCTTAGAATATCCGTAGGACATCTTCTGGACGTTTTTAGGAATGCGTCTCATTTCATGCATGATGTATTATTTTATCCTCCTTTAATAATCGGTAAACAACAATTAAAATAATATATCATATGTATCACGTGTAAAACGGAACGCATTTCTAGATTTTTCCTTGTTGTTTATCGAATATTAAGGAAGAATAAAAATACGCATTATCTATGAAGAGAAACGCACCCTAGGAGTTCCCTTAGAAGTTTGTACTATATGGGAAGAATCCACGACACGTAGGCAATGAAAGAAAGGACAGTAAACGACGATGACGATAACGACTCAAGGGAATCAATTTGGAAGAATGCGGTGACGAGATAGGCAGGCGGATAGACAGATATAAATAGACACATTACTTCGTTTTCCGTCTAACGTTCGTAACTACGTAACTACATAACGATTTGATCATTTGGTTATTATAATGATCGCGCGTTGTATACAAAGCGGCGATTACGGACAGAATTTTTGGCCTCCTGCGCGCGCTCCCGAGGTGGAACATGCTTGTTGTGCCGATATCGGAACGTAACGGAACGTCCAGATACGCGAAATCGCTTTTCGCCGATGCGACGCCTCTCTTTCTCCGCGCGTCAGGGACGGACGTGAACTTTTCGAGACCTGAAGCTGGATAGTCCGGTTTCCTAGCGATAATGTGTTAAAAAGAAAACAAAAGATCCATCTTCGTCTCTATAAGTTAAAATATTAGTTAATATTTTGAAACAAAATTATATCTTTCACTGGAGTGTTTAGATATTCAAATCTTTAAACATTGAAAAATACCAATTTTTCTTACTGACTGAAAGGATCAAGTGCGTAAATTACTATATAAAAATAAAGAAAGCGATGAGAAATCAAATATTTCATCAGTACAAAGAACATAATTATTAAAAAATCAAAAAATTTCAGAATCCTACCTTTTACGTGGGAAATATAATATTATCTAAAAAATAAATACGGTTAATTACGATTGCTCGCTTCTAAAGTTAAGTTGCATCAGAAGAGCCTTCGAGAATGAATATAAAAATCTTTATAAGTCTCCGATGAAACTAACCAACATTACAACCGACTTTACTTTTTGTGTTTCATTTAATCCGACTATTAATTGTCCTGGTCGAAACAGTCCTAGAGTCATAAAAAAAGCGCTATAAAAAAGGAAGAAAAAAAAAAGGGGAACAAATCTTTAGACTCTTAATAGAAGCATTGCCAAGCAAGAGCTATTAAAGGGACGAAGTAATTGATAGAAAGATGGCAAATATTATTTTTAAAAACCTCACGATCGAGGTTTCCACCCGGAAAAAAATGTAATTCCATATATATAATTATATAAAAAATTGACATATTTTATATATAATTATATATAATTAAATATAAAATATTTATGTATACAACATTTTTTTTCCGGGCAGCAATTTACAAAATCAAAAGCTTAAAAGAATTCATTGTCTCCCACGTGAGTCCCTGACATCGCTACAAATTTCGTCTCTGGCATTTTTGCCGCAGAGCGCATGGTTTTAGACGCGAAAGGTGTACATACATGCACACGCCTTTTGTGCGAAGCACAGTGAACAACGAGCGATGGATCGGATCGAATCGATCGGAGCACGCGTGAGAACGAATTATTCCCGGCCCATCGCTTCGCGTAATATACAGATAATATTACACTAGCTACATGGCTATCAGATGCGTATCTTCTGCTTTTTCTTATATTTTTTTTTACACGTATACACAAGCGCATACATATAGACTACCGCGCGTGTAGAATACGCATATAAATACACACTCGCATATAACACACGGACGCAACATTCGCCCACACATACATACACATACGTGCACGCGCACATCGATCGCTATAAGACATCTTATCTCTTCAAGACTACGCGAATTTGTACATAAGGCATCACGATATCGTGTCGTTTCTCACATACGAACGTGATAACGGCAAAGCGTGATACTCGCTCTTCTATCTATCTGTTTCTGCTATCAAGGAGGTTCGGTAAATATCGAGGCGAATTTCGCGTTAGCGACGACTATCGAAATGATGATGCGCGCGGCGCGAGACGCGGATTAAGCTTCTTCGACTCTTAAGCACGATCGTTTACACACCAAACAGGATATCTCGAGTCGCAGCCAGCTTCGAGATAGCGATAATTTCGAGATAGCGTTGCTTTAATCTGGCAAATCATTCTCGAGGGACTCGACGGCGTCGCGAGATGACAGCTCATATATAGCTTCAAAAAATATATGAATGACGATAGCGGAGCTGCCGTTTGTGCGACAAGTTAAATTTTTTAAGTAAATAAGAATATGTAGAAAAGATTGTGAGGGAGAAAACACGTGCATGGGAATGAAAAAATTCTTATCATCCGCGAATGCAAATATTTCGATAAAGTATCAAAGGTAAACGTTTTGAAATGAATGTAAAAGATTAGTAATAAAGAACCTGCCTTTTTTAAGACGGATGTTTTCGCTTTTACTTTCCAAGAGCATTGGCTTCACTTCTCTTCGCATAGGCTCGGGCCCATCCGTCGGTGTGAAGTTACGCTATAGTTAACCAAGGAAATTGTACGGGGATTGTAATATCCCTCACTCGGACTCGGTCCGTGAGTGAGTATACAGCGCTATGACGAAATATTTCCTCGCGATCACCACCCACCCGAGGATGTATTTCGTCATGACTGCTTAACAGTACTGAGCGTAACCGAAGCGATCGTCGAGATGGCTTCGAAATACTTCCCTGATATGTATATTGCGAATCGGGATCGACGATCGGGCCTACAGCCGACTTCGAAACTATAGTGGAATAATCGGATCGAGGACGATACAGCGAATTCAATTGCATCGATGATTGCGTAAACGAACGTGAGTCGAAGGTGCTTCCGCGGATCGAAAGTCAATTTGAAAAGATCCGCTAAATTTGTGATTCTCTTTTTGTGACAAAAACGGGATGACGTATGGAAAGAAATATAAAAAATGTAAATACATGCAATGGCTGCATTCGGAAGAAAAAGCAGTTTTACAATTATTGTAAAATTCTCTAATATGATTAATTTTTCCCTTAGTTCCTCACTGGATCTAAATTTACATCATGTCGAAGAATCTTACAATAGTTGCAAAGGTGCTTTTTCTGCTGAACGTAGAATATTTGCAATATAATGTCATAGATATCGCTCCATTTAGAAATTACGATAATATCTGTGACGATAAACAGTTTTTTTGTCTTAATAATTTCTACACATTTCTAAACTCTCTCGATGCTCTCCAACTAACAGTTTCGTAAAGCTCCGCGCCTCGAAGCCTGAATGGCGAAAACCACGCAGCGCGCGTCCAACACAGGTAGTCGAGAACGAACGGGAAGCAAAGAGAAGATCTCTCTCTTTCTCTGTCCATACTCTCGTACTCTCTTCACTTGGTGTGCTGCTTCGGGAGGTGCCGCTTCATGTGCAGCGCGAGATGATCGCTCCTGGCGAAGGAACGCTCGCAGACCGCGCATTTAAAGGGCTTAGCCCCGGTGTGCTTGCGGTAATGCCGCGTCAATTCGTCGCTCCTGGCGAATCGCCACTCGCATTCCGGCCATTGACACTGATACGGTTTCTCGCCTGAAACAGTCAACAAGAGGAAAGATATACATAAGTGAAAACGACGCGATGCGTGTCTGAGAGAGCGATCGTATAATAATTATTACGACTAATGAGCTGTTGGAATCACTGATTTATTACCCTTATTGTACGATTAATTCTTAAGTAAAGATACAATGTATTGAATAATTTGATTTGTCACTTAATCATTTTCTTCCGAGATATATTTGATTTCAAGAGTTTTATTAATTCCTGTAATTGGTTTCTAATATATTTTTTTTTAAATTTTAGACGATGCAATAACATTCTTCTGTCATTTCTAATATACGAAATATATGTTTCGAGATACATATTACGGTAGTCTTTGTGCAATCGAGTCCTTTTCGCATATCTTTCTACACGAAAGTGCGAAAGCGTATATCGATATATAGGGGAGTTTAATCGGTGCGACTTGTACGTTTCATGAGCGAGAATTCCGTTCGAGTTTCGAGACGGCGGCGACCTATTAGAGAACAAAGCGTTGCTCTTTGTGAGATAGAGCCGCGGGATGCGGTATACTTAGGTATATACCCCGTCGCGCCTCTCAGCTGCGAGAGATGCAGCACGGTGTGACCTTTAACTGTACCTGCATGCCGCAACACGCTCACCTGTATATTCTAGCGCAATCGCACCGGCCGAGGCCGGACCGCGCGCGAGTATAAGCGACCGGCCGAATGCAGCATTGCAATCGGCTAATGCGAACCAACATGCCCGCATTCCGCTCAGCTTCGCCGATTATCGAGGAATATGTCTTCCTTATTGCTATTATTATTTTACACGCGCCTGTGGCGTATTATCTTTATAAACGGGATTGAGAGCTCACGCGCGATGATTGACGTTAAAATTTACTGGATGCCATCGGGCCATCGGAATATGGACGCAGATCGGACTTGGAGAATTGACATTTAGAATTAGAGAGAGAGAGACAAGTTGAGATTTGCAAATCGTTATGGTCGAATATACACTCCCGAATTAAAAGGAAATCAAAGAATACCTATCCAGCAAACACAAATATAACATATATATGTAAATATACACGTTTTTATATCTCTGTTATATGACGATTTTGTGTATATAACTAAATGTTAATAATTTCGCATTCAATATAAATGTAAAATACAACACATGTAACGGTTGAGTGCGAAATTGTAACATTGATGTTATACTTTTAGTAAAGACCGGAGTGTATACATAACGCATAACGCATAAGAAAATCAACCAATCAGAGTCTTTTATTTCATTGGAAAGGAAGGAAATGAAGGACTTTGATTGATTCATTGTGATGCTTTATGCATTCTGCAAGATTCTGTACTTCCAACCTTAGAGCCACCACACACAAAATGACATAAGCTGCAAATCAAAATGGTGTTTTTGTTTGATGATGTTATGTTATGCTTATGCAGCTTATGTCATTTTGTGTGTGATAGCCCTTCACACATGAAATGCGCATAACAGAGCATAAGCATAACATGAGATTACTCCAATGAGCATAGCATAATGTCGCCATATTGATTTACATAAGATGCTCATTGATTTAGCGGCCTTATGTGTGCATTTCATGCGTGAAATTTCGTCTCTTTCGTCCCTTTTAGTATGGATATTTAATATAATATATATAATCGTTATAATCAAGAACTGAAGAAGAGAGTGCATCGTCAAGTCAGATTCGACAAGTTCGCTTTGGACACTTCCATAATTCTTGAAACGCATCTCGTGCATTTAAATTACCTACGCGATTCATGCAAACTTTAAGTCTCCTACGCCAACAATCGCCTCTTCGAGCCGTTCGCGAATTTGATCGCGACGAAAGATTCTTTTGCGCGAAACGGTGAGTAAAGAAGCGAGTGCTAAGCGAATAAAAGCGACCGAGACGGAGGCTCGACGGGGGATCCGAGGCAGGAGAAAGGAGGGAGGGCGAGCACGCACAGAAGAGGAGAAGAAAGAACTCGATAGCTGAGAGATACACCCACGCATCCTTCTAGCTCGTTCCTGTTCCTCTCTCGTGCGCTATAGGTACGGCATACGGAGACGACCCTAACCGGTCCTCGCCGCCGTGCCGCGAGAGTTGCATTCAGCGCTGCAGCATCACGTCGCAACGTGCCACGCGACGCACAGCCCAAGGAACGGTACTACTACCACGAACGCTATCCATTTACGGTATCACGCGCGTTCACGTGAGAATTCTTCTCCCGCGGATCTCCGCCGCGCCGGCGAGAACGGCGAAATTTCCTCTCGATCTGTCGGCTGACATTAGCAGGTTCATACCTATTTAAACGTTTATCCTGCTGACAAATATATAATTTCAAAAAAAAGATTTTTTATTAATAACTTGGATTAACATTGGAGTAGTCATCCGATTTTTTTACTCGTAAATGATTAGCTAAAGTATTTTATATTCTGATTAAAATTACTGTTATATATTAATAACGTATTGTATATTTGATTGTTTTTTTGATTTATTATTTGGCAGAGTTGGGTAAGTTAATGTTTTTTTTTAACTGAATAAAGTTAAGTTGAAGTAATAAAAAATTAACTTAACGTAAGTTAAGTCTTTACTTAACTTACGTACTTTAAAAAAACAGCCAGCACATAGAGAAGATACAAGGTCAGTGATTACTTTTTAATAAGTCTTAAGCCATAAGAAATTGATCAATTACAATCGAATGCGAGAAGAATATTTGACTGTAATTTGTTAATTTCTTATGACTTAAGGCTTAAAACATCTATTATAGATCCGGACTAAGGCTTATAGCATAATCGCATAAATCAATCAGAGGGCTGTATTAGTATCTTAAGAAATTACTTAAGATGATCTTAAAATATGAACAGATTACGAATATATACCCTTAGTCTTATTATATCTTATTATTTTTCTAAGATATTTAAAAGAGATAAAAAAATTTTTTACTTAAAAAAAAAGTTAAAAAGTTAACATTTAACTAGTTAAGTTAAAATTTTATGCATCTAAAATTAATTAAGTTAAGTTAAAAATTAAATTAAAAGTTATTAATTTTTTAACTTTTTTTTTAACTTTTAACGTTTTAACTAGTTGCTATCCAATCCTAGTATTTGGAAATATTTATGGATATGGATTTAATTTTTTGAAAAAAGTAAATAGAAACTAAATGAACATTAAACCGAATAAGTACGTTAAATATATCATGATAGTACTTAAAAAAAATGGAGATTTTTAATAAATTAATATAACGCTTTTTATTACAGCTTTTCAATGGAATTGCATATTTAAAATAATAAAGAAAATACATTAAACATTATCTATACAAAATATCTTACAATTTATATTTTTTTCGCCGCTAAAGCGTAAAAACACTCGATAACTATTCTCGAGTCAAATTAAAATATATAATCTCAAGAAAAGAATAAGAATGAATAGAAATGAAAAGTCAATTTATAAAAATTATTTTCCTTTCTGCAATGATATTTTCTAAGTTTAAACGCTCGATAAAATTCTTGATAAATGTAAAGCACGTTGGAATTTACGTGGCACGAGCTCTGTGTGGCGTATGTAATATTTGCGACTTTTCGACGACATTTACAGTCGAGGCTTTTATCCGTCTTATATAAAAGTTATTTTTATTTAGAAGAAATTCTCTTCAACATTCTTAACTGCTGAAAATGTAAAAGCATGCGTGACTATTCGTATTCTTTGATTTGTGCGACATCGCGAAATGTGATATTGCATTACGATGTTTCCAGAGTCGATCGGTCGAACCAGCGACACCTACGGGATCTCCAGGCGTCCCCGTTAATTTTGGATCACTTTCACTCGAGAGTCGACAGCGCTCCATTCCGCGGGCAAGTTGCTTTCCAAATACGCTTCCTAGTCCTACTTTGATCCAGATTTCTTCAGCTACCGGGCTTTCTCGCAATGTCTGGTTCTTGATTAATCTCTTGGTGATTAATGATAGCGCTTGAACTTAAATTTCTTTCAGATTGGAAAAATATTCTAAAAGTTAGAACAAACAAGTATATTACTTTAAATAGGAAACACCATTATGATCTGAATGTTAAGATGATGAACTATTATATATATTCATATAATTTCAGAAATGATAATTGCGTGCCGATATGATTGTCGGATTTTCAACGCAATCAATCTGAAATATTAATAATCCCCCCAAATTTCCCAAATTAATTTAAAAAAATTGTAATAAACTTATTGCGAAAAATATTCCCTCGACCGGGAGTCAAACCCGGATATCTTACGTTCCGTGCGAACGTCTTTAAACTACTGAGACTCAAGTATATACAGAATCAAATATATATTACATATATTTATACATACATACATACATACATATAATCATGAAAAACGAGCCGTTTAAATTTTTTCAGTTTAATTAGAAGATAATTTAATAATTTCTTAATTATTAAAACTTTTGAGAAGATAAACACGTATGAAAAAATGTCAGAAAATTTATTAGAAAATTTATTAACTTGAGTTTGATTAATGACATTTTTTGATTCAATTAAGGATGAAAGTAATTATAAATTATGTATATTTCTTTTATGTCATCATCACTTATAAGTCACGTATAAGTCACGATTAATATAAATTATGATATTCAATCTATATATTTATCGCGTCGATTATGAGTCAGCTATTAGTTCCCATTAATTATAAAGATTATTTTCGTATAATACATAATTCTAGACGTTAATGAATTAATAACGAAGTCGAACACACGCGGCTCGTGGCACGGTGCATTCACACAGCGGTGCAGCGGTGCAGCGAGGGTTCATTCACGAGTCGTTCGACAGACTCGCGCGCGAGTGGCGAGTGGCGAGGGCCACGTGCCCCTCTCGGCTTCTCCTCCACGTCGAAGCTAAGCGTTCCCCCCCGTCGACCCCGTCTCGACTCGCCTGTATTCGAGAGATCGCGCGACAAATTGAAATATCCTCGTATAATCTTGCATATCGATCGGTTCTCCATTCTAATCGATCGACGGAATGTCGTAAGGATTGATCGACGGACAAGATGTACAAGTCGCGGCAAAGTGGCTGGTAGTAAATTAATTTAGCTGGTATCGCTGTTATATCTATCGCGCGAGCGCAGAGAGAAACATGTCTATTAGATTCAAATGTCAATGGAGGAGTTACAAAGACGAATTTGAATCACTGGCGCATATATAAGTTATGGTTGCGTGCTAATCTATTTCAATGTGAATCCGTAAGGTTACATTAGGTAACGAGATGTTTAAATCATTTTCAGACGTCGATCGAAATTAATTAGAAGATAATTTATTAATTAAGTTTATATATAAAAGTTTTGAGTATATAAAGTTTTAGTATATAACAGTTTTGAGAAGGTAAACACGCATGAAGTGAAGGATGAAAGGATTTAGTGTGCGATTGTCTTTTTGCCTTGGTTCTCCTTGCGCGCGTTCTTTGAATCTTTTGAAATTTTATATCGTTCGACCGATTCGTTTCAGACGATGACACGGGTTTACCGCAAAAAAAAAAAACTCAGGTATCAATTCGAAAGTGGTACATCGCACTTAAGATGCCTCCGGCTTGCATTCCGCGAGAGACTGCCGCGTAGGCACGTGTGCGGGAAGCACATCTCTTCGTCCTTTTCTCCGCCCATCTTTATCTCTCTTACTCTCACGCTCTCTCGCTCTTTCGCTTGCGCTCCACGCGTGTGGGAACTAGCGTGCGTGCCCGTCCAGGTAGCTACATACGGCAGACGGTGTTGGTACTACGACTCACGTCCGTGTGTTGGCGAAGCTTGGACATGGATAAGATGTGGGTCGGTCGCTAGCTTCGCTCTAAGCGGAGAGTCGCATACCACGAGAACTTCGTGCGTCCCTTACCACGTTTACATATGATAGAAGCGCCTTTGCGCGACACTGCGCGCAAGTAATGCCAGTCGAGAAACTAAGAGATGGAAAAGAAGAGACAGAGAGAAGAAAGAAAGAGGAGGGGGAGAGAGAGAGAGAGAGAGAGAGAGAGAGAGAGAGAGAGAGAGAGAGAGAGAGAGACGGCTGAGGACCGCGCCCTGCCCACACGCAAACGTCGACTACTCGACCTCGCGCTTTCAAACTCTTCGTCTCGCTTCGCGTAGATGAGCTACATACCTAATTACCAGAGAATACACGGAAGCCCCTCCCCCTAATTTGAACGTTCTCCCTTGTACTAGCAACCACGTGTACGACGTGAAACGTCAAAGACAGCAGCGTTTTCACTCACCCGTGTGTATCCGCTGATGGGCCTTCAGGTGCGAACTCTTTGTGTAGACTTTCGTACAACCTGCAAAAGAAAACAAGAAATTAGGTCGAAAATCAAAGTTAAGAATACGATCAAAAGGATAACGTCAAAATCTTATATGATGTTTGTAAACTGCTTTTTTTTTAAAATACAATTTGTTAAAGATACTATCAAATTAATAGCCGACACAGTGATAAAAATATAATTATTGCGTATTTACTCCGATCCAAACAAATATTGTCAAATTTCTGAAATTAAACATTTTAATTTAATATTTAATTTAATGTTATAACAGACACTAAATAAGTCAATGTATAGTTTTTCTTTTTTTAATTCTTTAAAAAAAAAAAGAATTATAGAATAGGAGTCTTAGAGTGGTATTCATAGTCTGTTCTTATTTCAAGACTCAAGACTGTCTTAAGAAATATCTAATATGGCTCTCTCTGATTGGTGATTTCTTAAGACGTAACTGTACTTAAGACGGTCTTGAATATAAGATCTGATTACGTTTCTAAGATTCCTATTCTAAAACTCTTAACGATATCGATATCGTTATTAAGAGTTACAGAGAATAATCTAACAACAAGTTTAAGGATTCCATATATTCACCTATGAAATCGCAGTGGTGCACCCGGCGTTTCTCCAACTCCGGATTATTTCGTCTGTTAAATTTGGTCGACATCGACGGCGGTTGGATCCTGTGGGCTGGATTCAGAATCGGGCCCGGCTGGGGATACGGGGGTGGCGGTGTCCGCCTAGGTGGACCGGCGCCGATGGGTGAGCTGGGATCAGAGATCGGTGGCGTCAGTGGCGAAATATACATCAGCCTCGTCATCGAGCCGTAGAGCGGCGATGTCGCGTTGCCGCTCGGCTGATGATGACTGGTCGTTGACGAATCACTATTGCTACCGCCATTGTTGTTGCTGTTGTTGTTGCTGTTGGCGCCATTGCCGTTATCGTTATTGCTACCGGCATTACTTCCGCTCGTGTTATTACTATTAACAGTCCTGCTGTTGTTGTTATTATTATTATTGTTGTTGCTATTGGGAAAGTTCTTGAAAAGCGCCGCCGTTGTCGTCGTTGTTGTCGTCGTCGTCCGATGGTGTACGACGTGCTGAACACTAGAGGGATTTGGAAAGGGATTCTGTGAGGAATTTGTGGCCGGTCCCTCAAGGAGATGCAAAGTCGGCGGTGGCGGTAACGGTTCCGTCTTGATCTCCACCGGGGAGAGAACTGGCGGCGGTGTCACATCGTCAGTCTCCATTTTTATGTGAGATTGAGAGCCCAACATATCCGCGTTTTCCGGATCCAACTTTTGGATACTCGACGTGATATCCTCCCAGAGCGGTGGCCTGAGGAAGACATCGTCGTCCTGACCGGCGCCCGTCGGCTGACTCCTGGAGGAGACGAAACTGGCCTGCGGTGGTCGGCACACCGCCGTAGGTCCGCCGACCTCGAAGAAGTCCTCCATGTGCACGGACGGCTCCCGCACATCTCTCGCGTCCGATTCATCCTCGTCCAATCTTTGCAGACGATCGAGATCCTGCCTGCACAGCAAAGTGTCCAGGTCCGACGTCTGCTGAGAACAAGAAGAGATATTACTCATTTATTTAGTTAATATTTCTCAATTTTAACTTAAATTATTACAAAGATGTCATTCACATTATTTAATTATATAATTTTTTTCTCAATCTCAAAAATGACTGAACTAAAAAAAATGTGATTTTTTTAGTTAAAAATTTTCTACAAGAGTGAGTGAGTGAAAAAAAGAGAGAGAGAGAGAAAGAGAGAGATTTGAGTTGTATTGTTTTCGTAAATAAAAAAGAGAGTCTTCTACAAACATTTAGAGTAGATAATTGTGGTGATTAAAATTTAAAACAGACATTGTTTTATTTTGAATTTAATCATTATAGTGGATCAAAATAAATGTAAACTGTTAACGATATTTCAAGTTATATCACTTTTGAATTATTCCGAATTGTTATAATTTTAGATTATCAAAATCACAACAAAGAAAGATTATTTTTAAAGATTATGAAATCAAAATAACAAAAATGACCATATTGATCATATTTCTGAGAATACATTCTTTTTGTCGATATTATTTAATTAATTAATCATTTCCTTAAGTTTTTTTGATTATGTCACTTTTATTGAATTAAGGAAACAATGTTACTGTTTAATAATGTTACGTTTCGTACGATGTAATGCTATCTTTTGGATAACTTTTTCTTTATTTAATCGGTAATAGATTATCTACGTTTATCAAAATGTTAATATTTTCAGTGCTAATAATAGCAATAGATATGCAATATAAAAAACTGTTTAGCGATAACTTTTGGAGGAAACGTTTTCAAATATACGTTCAAAGCCCTTCTACTAACGATAATCGACTAAAGTCCCTTTAGGGTCATTCTAATAACATATTATAAAGAGCGCATCTGCCGAGAAGAGAACGGAGGGCGAATGACTTGCGATATGGTGATACGCGCGGCGAAGGTCCCCGGGTCGAGCGTCGTCAACATGCACAACGCTGTCTCGCCCTACGACGTCCAGCACGCGCGAGGAGGAGCGACGGAAGACGGAAAGCGGGATGCCGCGTCATCCTTTGCATGATTTGTACACGAGCAACGCCGCCCTCACGCCCCATGGTACACCGCTCGCTCATTCTTCCTCTCTTTTCCTCTCTTTTCCTCTCTCGTCAGGTTGAAAGACGACGAGTGCCACCTCGCTACAGCGCGCTTGGTGTATAACATTCGAAGGATTTCTACAAGGGTCTCTCAGATCGACGCATCACTCGTCGCCGGCGATGTTAGGCGTCGATACTGTTCTCGCGCCGGAAATGCGTGTGGGTATCAAAAGCGAAGCTGGGAGACAGTTATCGGCATCGTTTCGATCTTTACGACTTTAACGCTTCTGCTGGTATCCTAACTCGTGGTCAAAGCCATGGAATCGTACCGAGTACCTGTCGAAAAGGGATCGAAAAGATTGGGTTCCTTCCATTTTGATGACACAAGTAGACACAAGTGATGTTCTAACTTTGTTGCTTACTGAATGTTAAGAAAAACAGGATGAAGTTTGTATCACCTTGTGTATCATTAAAGTGACCCTACCATGGTCAATAATACTGTCAGTACTAACAAATACTAATAATATTACTGATCGTGTGTGATTGATGTTGATGAATTGACATACAGAAATATTGACAATGATTTGGATTTTAATTTTCGAGCATTAATATCGCTTTATTAGGATCCATATGTCACAATATATGTCACATATATAATGTGTAATAAATAATTTACGTAAAATAAAAGTGAAATATATTGTCAATAATAATGATCATGTAAAGTTATAAAAATACTATAAATATTGATGCGTACTGTCAATATACTGATTCAATATTACTGATCAGTATTATTGAGCGTGTAGTCATTTTTAAATAGAAAGCACTCATTGCAGTTCGATCTTTAAGATTTCAACATATAAAATGTTAAAGTCTCTTTGTCTAAAATTGAAATTATAAAAGGTAAAAGAGATGTCGTCGAATGTTTCAATATATTGCGAAGAAACACTTATAGATTCCTTGAAAAATATCATGTGGCAAGCTTTCGAGCTTTCGATCGGGTTTTGCTGCTCGCGCGGTTTGTGCAGCCCGCAATGATTTATGAATTATTTACACAATGAATAATTCATCGTCGGAAGATTGGTACACTCGCGACATTCGATCGTACCTGATATGCAATTTGAAAAGGAGCTCGTGTGCGCAAGCGAGGTACGATATGCACGCGAAACATTATACTTAAAAATTCGTATTATTATGCTTAAATCGTAGCGAAACGCGTTGTGTTGAACGATACTGCCTTAATCGCAAAGATTTTGCTTTTATAGAAAAAAAAGAGTATAAATCAGAAAATCTATTTTCGCGGATAGAAAAAAACGGAGGAAAGTCGAAAAAAAAACAGTTGTAGTCATCAATTCACTGTAAATGTAAAAAAAAATTATAAAAGATCGAATAAACGGAGATCTTTCTCGTGATTCAAGTTTGAATTCAGAAAAATTATGATGATTTGAAAATGCGATTCAAAAAGATGTAGACAAAACGCCAAGTGATTTGTAATGTAATCAGGCTAGCGCTTGAGATTGAATTTGACCAATCAAAAAGTTCACTTAAACCTGATTTGGTTTTAAATTCAAGCCTCTATTTTGTAACTCTTAATGACAATGTAAAATAATATCATTGTCATTGCACAGGTATTATACATAATAAAAAAGTTGCGCAACAACAATATAACGATGCTGTCGTTAAGACTTACAGAATAGGAGCCTCAATCTCTAATTTAATATGATAAATATAATAGATAATAGATAAAAATAATTTCTACAATAAGCTATTACTTAAATTTTAAGCCTTAAGTTATAAGAACCACTAATCACAGCCGAATATAAGAAGAATAATCGATCATGATTGATCAATTTCTTATAGCTTAAGACTTATTAAAGCTAGGCAATGACTTATTGTAGAAAACTTCGTTCGCGTATCGTGAACGTAAAAACAGTATTCGACATTTGATTATATATAGATCTAATAAAATGCATTGAAGATCGAATGGCACCGCTGTACGAAAACCACACACGATATTAAACACAAGTGTTGGAGTGAAATGCGTTCGAACGAAAGAAATTACAATTTCGTAATTTTCTTTCTCGATCCATCGAGGCCCGCCGCCGCGGTGGGATCAGCCTCTTTTCCTACGGTCTCTCGTCTCATCCGTCTCTTTCTCGCGTTGCGATGATAATGATAGTGCGGAGCGCGAGCAAAGTTCGTCCATCCGGCTATTAATGCGCGTAATCATAGAGCCAGGGTCGCCGGTGTTAATAATGCGTTTTCGAATCTGTCGGAGCGAGAACGAACACCCACGCTGCGCCGATACTGCGCGTCGTTATTATGTACCGGCGGATACGCGCGTATGGGTTTATGCGTGCGTACGCGTGTGCGTGTGCGTACACTCCCACGCGCGCGCGAACGCACGCTACGCTAATATCTCCGCTTGATTATTCCAGGTGATCACAAGCTGGTTTGTTGTTACTGCTCGCACACCAGTAACACAACGACGATGACGACTACGGACGGTTGTAATCGTCCTCGGAAAAGGAATAATTTTTTTTCTCTCGGCTATAGCGAGTCAATAAATCCAGTTTGTCTTATTCTGGTGACACACACACAAGATCCATTCTCCTACAAATCGATTAGCATGCAGCCAATGATTCCGGAGTGCAAGAACGTTTCTCGCTACGACTCCCGTTGCTGGTGCTGTATTATTAGGTTCGCGAGAGGAAATGTGGAAAATCGCGAGAAGCGAGAAAAGTCGAGGAAGAGCATGATAGGAGAAAATAAGAAAGAGTTTCATCGTTTTTAAATTTACAATTATTATATAAAAATGTAATTATTCGTAATTATTCATAGTATACTTTCATCCCGAAATGAGATATCACTAGAAGACATCGATGCTTTGAAGCAAATCGCGAACACACTTTCTCTACCGTCTTTTATTAAAATAAAAGAACAGAAATTAGAAATTTAATTAATTAAATATTGTATATAGTCGTTTATCAATTTACGTAATATCTTGAGCGCCTTCGATATGGCGCTTCCGATAACTCGCGTGATCAAGCTGGCTCGTACTTCATAATTATCGGGAGCGAATCACCGACTAAATTCCTCGATATAGCAACATGATAAACGCAATGCGGCCAAGATGGAATAGAAGAATCGAAACGACGCGACGCCATACTGCTCGCAATGAGAAAACGCAACGCGCAGAAGCAAGCACAGCTCGCCGAATCAATCTGGGGAGGCCACACCCTCTGACCTAAAGCCTTATTATCACGATAAACGCCCAGGAAAATGTCAGCCATGAAGCCGCCCCGAATTGTCCTTACGCGCGATTCTCGCTGAAACGCTTATCATTGCCGTTGCGACTTTGCGTTTCATATCGTGATCGCGATCACGCTATCCGCTCGGAGTCTCGGACGGAATACGTTTCGTTCCCGCGAGAAGGTATGACTATACTCCGCGATACGTACCATATTTTTCTGCTCGTCGAAGCGTTCCGACCTCGATAATAATGCGCGGACGCGGGGGTAGCCACAGTGATCGCTTTCATAATACAAAGCCTTTGGATTCTTAGTAGATAATTATTTTCGCGATACTTGTGCTCGTTTCTACCAATGTAGATTAACTTTAATCTTGATTCAACTTACTCTTCAAGTTTTTCTAATTTTAAATATTAAAGAGAGATTATAAAAATTAGTATACATGATGGCTCATTTGTGTTTCGGATTAATTTTCATTCTTTTAACAAATTTGCAAAAATTATTAAGTGAATCTTACGTCTTTAGAAGTATTTACGAGATTGTATATTTTAAAAACATGTATATAAATATGTTGAACTTGATGCGTCTAATTTTTCGAAAAAACAAGAAATGTAAAGGACATGAATGTAATCAATTATCTGTTTCATCCAATCGTAACCTGTAACTGTAATTTAATTGATACAATCATACATATAGGAT